TTCCTGGAACAAGTGAAAGGTAGGATCAATCCAAATGAAGTGTGGTCAGTATAAAAATAGTGACCTCAAGTCATGTTATTTTTCATTTATCTGGATTAATACAAGGGTTATGCACATTTCAAGGATGATATAATACAAAATTGTTGTAAAGAGTTTAGTTAAATGTTACATGTGTATGCACATACATATTTGCAATCGAGTCTTTCTTTAAAAAATTCCGTATCTGTACTTGATAAATGAAATTAATGTGTGCATTTATATATATATATACACACACACACACACACACGTTCATGGTATACATACATACATACATACATACAAACATCAGAGTCTGAAATTGGCAAAATTTTTAACTGATCCTCCTCCAGGGATTCTAACTAGTCCTTATCAGATGTAACTGTTCCACTCCGTATGTATGTATGTATGTATGCTCGTCTTATAGTTCTATTTATAATGATACACTAAAAATTAAACATTAACCAGTAATATCGTAAAGATAGATTATTTGCTCAATAATATAGGTTCCCACATTTGTGACTGTCTTGTGCAGTCAGTATACTTTATTTTTTTGTTGTCAAATGTAACACAGAATTACTCAAGAGCTATTGCCCCTAATTTTGAAGTAATAGACTAGAGGGAAGGCTGTTAGTCAACACCATACACAGCCAGCTCTTGGTCTACCTTTGTCAGATTGAATAGAGGGATTTTTCATTCACTTTTATAATGTACCCATGGCCCCAAAGTAGAGAGCACAACTTTTTGTTTTGGTAGTAGTGGAGTACAAACCCTGAAATCTCAGATCATAGTCCAGCATGATAGTCTTAGTGATATAGCACACTTCACCATCTATAAACATATCCATAGCTACAATGAATATTAACTCTTTTTTTTTTTTCATGTATGGGGAGTTCCATGAAAACCAACTGTTGTAAGACTAGGTAATTTAGATAGGGGTCTTACACATGTTCAAACAAAGCTTTTCCTAAAAATGGTTCTTCCTTGAGCATCTTAACCTTAGAATTACCAAAAGGGGTCTCTGCCTCATCAGCTTTTTAAGCATTTTTTCTATAATACTAATTCATCAAACTGGCTGTGATCTACAACTTTACTGGTTACAGGGTCCCTAATAACATATAAATCACAAAAGGTATACTCAAAAAGTACTATTAATATTGCAATTAGTTACACTAATTACTGTTCACGTACTGTATGTAGTTTACACAGAAAATGAGTGACTTCACCAATTCTGCCTTGGCCATTTCTCTATACTAAGTGTTGTAACAGGTACAACATAGTTACTCAATATGATGGAATGTGTTAACTCCACTGTTAGTAAACAATATAAAATGTCAACAACTTTTAAGTAAACCAATTTCTGAACATATTCACAAATAATTGTTTATTCTTTTCACTTACAGAAAAAGCACAAAATATTTACTGCACAAACAAAATTATTATTTTTAATCTGTGTACAGCTACCCACATTCAATAAAGTTTTTATACCAGGGCATGAAATTAATGTATGCCTCTAAAATCATATTGGGCATATAAAAATTGAAAAGGATGTCCCCACTTGGCATGAAACATATTCTAGCAGTTATTTCATACTAAATAAAACATCAATGTTGTTTGTAGCCAGAATAATGGTAACTGTACTCTGAATGTAAATAAACATGTCACATTTTTGTACTATGAAGTTGCAATTTTGCAGCCCCAAACCAATGCAAATGCAGTGTTTATTTCACTTATATTGTCTAATAGATCATTTGGTTGGTTTCTACCAATTTGCCAAACAAATTATTGTTTAACCAGGATCTGATCTGTGCTGAGTGTAATGCAACTTACAGTACAGTGCTTGTTCAATAGCTACCTGAGCTAAGGCTAGTTATCAAAGTCATAAAGTGGCCTATACAGATTAAAACAGCACTTATATCTAGCTAATTAGTATACGTAATCAAAAGTTTACGGATGCTAATTTACAACCTATTTAAGCCTCTAGATGCATATATACAAGTGTAATTATTATTACTTACCTTATAAATTTATTTGTTCAGTTTTATATGTCCATGGAATGGGCACAACATCTATAAATTTTCAATATAGCCATATTCCCAATAGCTATAACATTTATAAGAATTAAAACCACAATCACAAATTTATAAAATGTAATCCTTACTTTATTACAGTTAAGTGTATTAAACTGCCAAGGTAGTGGTTAAATTTTATAAATTTGTGATTTTAATTCTTGTTTCATTACTTTTTGTAGCAGGATCCCTACTTACATTTTATAATTCATAATTTTTTAATATTCTCGTTTGTTTACTTTTTATGTTATACCTTTATAAAGGATATACTTTACCTTTAGAAACCGCTGCATGTCTATACATGAATATGTACAGCCATCTGTTGGGTTGAATTAGGTTGAAAATATACGAGGCCTGTGAGAAAAGTA